GCATCGATCCGGTCGACCCCCACTGCATAAACTAGATCAAGATCAAGTTATCGGCTCTACCTTAGGATGACAGCCTTTGGTAGATTCATTAAGTTACCGGTATTGCTTATTGCTTTCATTATTTATCTATTTACAGCAATATCATTCTGCCCGATTGGGATTGATCTAGATCGGCGTTATATCTTGTTTAGCCCATCGTTTGCTAATTCAAACTAATCTAATCTACACTTTAAACGATGAGTTATGTTTTATCGGCTGTTTTATGTCAATCCTGATCGTGCATAGCATGCAGTTAAGGCGTGTTACGTCTTGCGTAGATTTATTGGTTAGCGAGAACCGTTCCATGGCCCGTTATCACGACCTGTGTGATTCTGCCTCACACCCCACTGTTAGCACCATGGAGTGGGGATCGTTATCTGGTAAATCTATTCCTGATAAGGCATGACTTTAACTGTGCGCAATGCCTGAATCGGCTATTTAGCCGATTTCGAGCGCTTTCACAAACAGTTCGCATCACGAGACTGTTGAAGTAAAGATAGGTTGAAAGATATGTTAGCCCCATGATCTTATTATTGTATTACGGCCTACATGATTCTGCCTCATGCATCACTGATATTAGAAATGAGTTAGGGTCATCAAGTCTATTGTTATTTCTACAACCTACATGATTCTGCCTCATGCCCCATTGGTCATAGCAATAGATGAGATCTAACATGTTCATTAGATTTATCTTTACCAAACGGTTAAATGGTGTTGAATCGTTTCTTTATATAAAAAGGGGTTCGGTTACTTGTAATCAATGGCTTAGTACAAACCAATCATTATTAACATTTTATTGCCATTGATTAATATCTGTTCGAATAATGACATTTTCCCTAAATGATAACCAATTCTTCTTATACAACTCAATGAGCTTTTATCGATTTATTCTCATGAATATGCTGGGATCGACTATTTAGTCGATCTCCTTTCATATCGGCTCTCATAGCCGCACATTCGGGACTGTCTGGCAACACCGGCAAGTTTCACCCTTAATTACTGATGAACTTTCTCTCCTTGTCAATTATAGGGTCAAATTGACTGGCACGTCTTGGGAGGAGTGCGTAGGATCGACTATCCCTGCGCTGAAGCTAGGCGGATCTACAACTCCATCGAGCAGACCCTTACGGCTTGCTACGTGTGTCCTCGGCACAGGACGAAAATTCTGTGTCGGCAGTAGCAACAACTACTACAACAAGCACGATTCATTAGGCTAATTGTGCCCCTACTAGAGCTTACAGAAGGTAAGAATGTAACATGGTGTTTGATAAAGACAATTTATTTTTATATTTGCTAGCTAGGAAAACCAACTAATAATTTTAATTATTAGCGAAGCTATTAGATAGGCCCATTTGGATCTTCTAACTAACTATAACTAATAATTGGCTACATTTAGCTAGAGGGAGTGAAAGGATCTATGGATGGCTTGAGGGAGGGGGTTGAATAACCTATTAAAATTCCTTCAATGACACAAACACAACTAGGCAAGTATATTAGTAACAAAGGCATTCTACAAGCCTAATCTAGCATTTCAATGCAAACCTCCTACATGATTCTAGTGAGCAAGCATGAACAACTAGCAACACCAGGTCACTCAAAGCTAACCATGGTTTACTAAACAACTAGTCAAGCTACATAAATAAAGCAACTAATCAAATTACTTCTACTCGACTCAAGAACTACACAAGCAACTACGCAAGCACAAGATTATGAATGTAAATGCAAGAGTCATAGAATGCAAACTATTGAGGTCAAGTGACACAAGATTTTCCCTCGGGGTTCGGTTGCTTGCCGGCAACCTATGTCCCCAATGAGGCAAGTCCTATCAAACAAACGCTTTATTGAGCCCTCATGAGCACACAAGCTCGACCCTCATTGTGGGAACTTGTGTAAAAGCTAGCGTGTCACCAAAGCACACTCCAAGCCTCTTGATTCCACTAGATTTACTCTTCATGAGCTCCCATGGGGATGAGCACAAAGCCCCTCACAAACCCTTTGATCGGAGTCCCCGCATAATCACCTAACGGTACTCAACGATCTCCATAAGCTCCAAGTCATCTAGGCGGCAGCAACCACCAAGAATAATAAGAGAATCCTTAGCAACAATAATCACATAGTGCCAAGATGCAAACACTCTATTGCAATGCACTATATCACTCCAAACCTCACACAGATGCAATCTCAAGTGAGCAAAGTGAGTGGAGTGTGAAACTCAAGCTCCAATATGTGTATCAATCAGCAAAAGGGTCCAATAGAGTGGCCAAGGCCAGCCACAAGCCCTATTTAAAAGCCCAAACACTCAACTAGCCATTTAAACACTCAACTAGCCGTTTAAAGAAACTGTTGAAAGGTTGTGTGCACTAGAGACCTTCGGTGATGGCACCGGAACTCACACTAGAGTTCCCAATGGCTCCAAAACTACTCGTTAACGATGTCAACACTCAGGTGATTTCTTCGGTGCAAGCACACAAAGATATCCGGCGAGCTCTGAGGCCTGAAGTGCACCAAAACAACCTCTCTAGACCAAAGGTCTAGTGTGTTGTCTGGTGCTTGCACCGGACAACTCCGATGGCTAAGTTTGAACTTCCCACACCTAATTTGTTGTGCATTGTGTGAACTCTTTGGTGAGCACCGAAACTTAATGTGTCATCTCAGAATTATCAGAGACAGCTACCACCTGCAACCTCCAGTGATCTAACTAGAGAGCTCCGATGAGTTGAAAAACTCAACTTCAGTAGCTCTTCTCACCCACTTTGCAAGCATGCTAACTCAAAACTTCAACAACACCACTTGAGTATTGAGTTGCATTTTCAAAAGTTTTTCAAAAACATTTTTTCTTGCTTCCTCACCACGTCACTAGGTCTAATGCATATGCAATTAATGTCATCACCTAGTGGCGCTAGATAACCACAATCACTTTAGAGCTCCACTCTTAATGACTATCTATCCTAAACCCGACCATGCACTCTATTACCGTTGAAATAGAAATCCATATGCTATACCTTTGCCTTCGGGCTTGTTTCCATCTCCCTCTTCCCTAATCCAATGTTGAGCACTTGGTCATCTCTTGGCCATCGCCATGTCCTCCATGGTTTCCATAGCTCAACTCTTGGTTGTGGACATAACATAACTTATTCAACACTGAAGCACCTTGTTAGTCCACTAGTTGTCACTCAATTACCAAAACGAAACTAGAGCTTCTAGGGAGCCATCTAGTTACTTTTTATTAGGTATTAGTTGAACTATTAGCTAGGATGTTTGATCCACTAACTATTGGAGCAGCCAACTATTGGAGCAACTTCAAGAGGCTCTTTATATCCTTCTATATTGATAGCAATAGAGATTTTGGTGAAAGAAAATACCTCCCATAGCTTCTTCAACTAGAATGACTCTCCAAATGATAATTTAGAGAGTGGGTTTAATTAAGAAAGACCAATGGAGATGCTCATAGCTGTCTACATCCAAACACCCTAGGGCATGAGGTGGTACTTCAACAAGGCACATGTACGATATTTATTATTAGTTTTATGAAAACTTCATCGTTTTTAAATTATAATTAAGTTGTTTTAGTTTTATTCTTAGTCATATGTTTCGAGGTTTGATCAAGTTTATAGAAAAATGAAAAACATGTACCTAAAATATGAAACAAGATTTATTAGGTACACCATGAAATATATTTTGATAGCACATTTATTTTATATTGTAGATATTAATATATTTTTTCTATAAATTTGGTTAAAATTAGAAAAGTTTGACTTGAGATAAAACAAGCACAATTTGAAATAGAGGAAGTCTGAGAGGCAGACTTGGCTTTATATAATACAGGACATCTCGATCCGAGACAAGACTAGCAATTTTTTTCAAGTGCTTGAGTTATCATATTTTTGAGGGACTTGCTAAAATTCAGGTGCCTGAATTTTAGCTTTTTTTAGGCGATGGTTATTACACATATTTTGTACTAAAATAACAGATTTTGTTCGTAGCAATTTCTGTAGATGCAATCTACAATTTTCGGTACCGAGAATAAAAAAAACCATTAGATAAAACGACAAACTCGATAAAATCTGATTTGTGTTGGCACAAAGATAACTAACTATTTACAATTATTTCTATAGAAAAACAAGGACAAAAATTTAATATGTTATGGCACAAGGACAAATAACAAATCTCAAAAGTAACAATTTATTTGTACTAGTTGTTTGAATAAAAGTGTTGTCTAAAATTATCTTAAAGTTTAGACACCTGAAAATATAGGAGAAGTGTATTTTCAATAGCTCGACATATATCGATTTTCAACCATACTTAGTAGATTTGATTTAGGACCGGATGGTGATCCAAATTATACGGTTTGAATCCATTGAAAATGTAGGCACGCCAAAAAATAAAACACCGTTGTGCCTTTGTTGGTTCTCAATCAAATTTTAGTCATATAATATATACATTCAATTACTTCATTACACCTCTTAATATAAAAGAAAACCTTTTTATTTTGACGTACAGTGACCGCAGAAATACCATTTGAGATACTGCCATTTACTTGGTTGAGACATATTCAAACGTCAAGCCACGAGGATTTGACCTAGACCGTCCATCTTAATTTCCACCACAATATAATACGACTATTATTTCAATATAAAGATGCAATATACTACCGTTGCTACTATAAATTTAGCCACGGGTCATGGCCGCTATCATGTCGAGCAGGAGTCGTCGTGCTGCTCGTGGTGTCGTCGCATAATACACACAGAAACTAGATAGCTAGCTAGCTATTCACAATAATATAATGGAGGAGAAGGTGCTCCTCGCCGTGGCCGTGGTCGTGCTGCTCGTCGTCGTCTCCAAGCTCAAGTCTTTGCTAGTCACCAAGCAAGCCGAAGCTAAACCTGCCCCCAGGGCCGTGGACGCTGCCGTTGATAGGCAGCATCCACCACCTGGTCACCAGCCCATCGATCTACCGGGCAATGCGTGACCTCGCGCAGAAGCACGGGCCGCTCATGATGCTCCGGCTGGGCGAGGTGCCCACGCTGGTGGTGTCGTCGCCGGAGGCCGCGCAGGCGATCACGAAGACGTACGACATCACGTTCGCCGACCGTCACTTGAACGCCACCATCGGCGTGCTCACCTTTAACGGCACCGACCTGGTGTTCGGGACCTACGGCGAGCGGTGGCGCCAGCTCCGCAAGATCACCGTGCTGGAGCTGCTCAGCGTCGCGCGCGTGCAGTCGTTCCAGCGCATCCGCGAGGAGGAGGTGGCGCGGTTCATGCAGAGCCTCGCCGCGTCCGCCGGCGCCGGCGCCACAGTCAACCTGTCCAAGATGATCTCCAGATTCATCAACGACACCTTCGTGAGGGAGTCCATCGGCAGCCGGTGCAAGTACCAGGACGACTACCTGGATGCCTTCGACACCGCGGTCCGGCAGACGTCGGTGCTCACCGTGGCCGACCTCTTCCCGTCGTCGAGGCTCATGCAGATTCTCGGCACGGCGCCTCGCAACGCGCTCAAGTGCCGCAACAGGATCACGCGCATCCTGGAGCAGATCATCCACGAGCAGGTGGAGGCCATGGACCGTGGCGAGAAGACGGCGCACGAGGGCTTAATCGGTGTCCTGCTCAGGCTGCAGAAAGAGGCCAGCTTGCCCGTTGAGCTTACCAACGACACCATTGTGGCGCTCATGTTTTGTAAGTCTTGCTTCTCCCGATGGATTCATGGATCATATCACCGCCTTTAACCATCTGGATCGTCGTTCAGCCTGTCCTGAGTGCTGACCTGAACTTGTTTCTTCTAGGACTTGTTCGGCGCCGGCAGCGATACCTCGTCGACGACACTGAACTGGTGCATGACAGAGCTAATGCGGTACCCGGCAACCATGGCCAAAGCGCAGGCCGAGGTTCGGGAGGCCTTCAAGGGAAGACCAGAATCACCGAGGATGACCTCGCCGGGGCAGAGCTTATCTACCTCAAGCTTGTGATCAAGGAAGCTCTTAGGATGCACTGCCCACTGCCGCTCCTGCTCCCGCGGCAGTGCCGGGGAGACGATGCCAGGTCATGGGCTACGACATCCCTAAGGGCACATCCGTGTTCATCAACGTCTGGGCGATCTGCAGGGACGCCAAGTACTGGGAAGATGCAGAGGAATTCAGGCCAGAGCGGTTCGAGAACACCAACCTTGACTACAAGGGGACAAACTACGAGTTTCTTCCGTTCGGATCCGGCCGCCGTATGTGCCCGGGAGCAAACCTTGGACTGGCTAACATTGAACTCGCACTGGCGAGCCTTCTGTACCACTATAACTGGAAGTTGCCAGACGGAGTGAAGCCAGAGGATGTCCAAGTTTGGGAGGGTCCAGGACTGATAGCAAAGAAGAAAACAGGCCTGATTTTGCACCCGGTTACCTGTATTGCTCCAGCCGATGCGTAAACAAGCCCAACATAATATGCTTCTTGGGCCAGTGTGGTACTGCATGGGCCATGATTGAGCGATATAAGGTTCGATGGAAAAATAAGTTGGAGGATTGGATGGCTCTTGTCGCTTCAAGGGTACTGTAAAAATATTATAAATAGTACCATTTCCTAGAAGAAAAGTAGAAGGTGAAATCCTAATCCTAGTCCGTATGTATGTAGACTCTTACCAAACTCTTAGTACTTGATAGGACTATATAAGTATGGGAGTTCTATGTTGTAATCATCAATATTCAGATAAATGAAAAACACTCTCTCTATCTTGTATCTATTTGTTCTTCTATTTTATTTATTGAGTTGATCATGAGAGACGGAGAGTGGAAGGTCCTAACTGCTAGCAACATATTTTATAACACGTTATCAGCACGACAAGTTCTTCGTCGACATCATCGCCGTCGGTTGTGGCCGATCTTCAATGCCGACACTTGTACCGTCAACATCCCGCCGTGACTACCCGACGACGGCGTCGACATCCTCGACGTTGTTAGCGGATAGGATGTGTTACCTCGACCTATAACTAATCTGCACTGCATCGACATACACCGTCGTCGTCAAGCAGGCAGATCTACGACAATGCCAAACGTCGTACGCGGTATGTATCTACTAACCACTGCCCTATGCGATATGTGGGGTAGATCAATTGGCATCCGTAATAACTAAAGGCATAAGAAAATGTGGGTAATATATATTTAATAGGCATAGCCTTCCTAAATCTATCTTTAAGTGCATGTATCAGGACTTGAAGTCCTAGCCGCATCCCTTCCGGCCGAGTTAACTTTCTCTACATTGCACTAATTGCAAGCAAGCTTGTAGCTTTGTATTTTGTTGTTATCTATTACGTTGGATTGAATACCAACATTTCACATTACACATGAATGTGTATCACTATGTTATGCTCCCGTCGAGCTGCACTATCTCCACTCCTGCATGAATATTAGTATAACAGATACATTTGTAGCTAGTAGCTACCTTTGCACTTCCCTCATAATTACATTGGCAAGCTAGTATGCTATGTCTATATAGTTCTCGTTGAACTAAGGAATATTTTGCTTTCATTGCATCGCATGCATAAGCAATAGATTGGTATAGGGCCAAGTAGCCTAAGATTAGGGAGAGTTGGTTAATCTAAAAGGGCCAATCCAAAATGGGCTAAATGGAGAAGTGACCCACTTGAATGGGCCGAATTATAGTGGAAATTAAGTTAATAGATAAAACACTTAATGATGATTTGGGATTTATGAAGAAAAGGCATTTGGTTAAAAAATTATAGAAGAAATTCCATATAATTTTGAATGTTGCATATTTATACAGTTGAAGTATATGATCCATTTTTTTAATTACGTATGAGTAATTGGATCAATTTTTTTAGCTAAACAATGAAGAAGGTAGACAATAAAATAATTTTTTTAAATTATGATATATGCAAATCAGGGAGAGAACATCCCTGAGTTTGTAGAAATACTAAACAATCTTAAGTGCACTTTATGTATTCTAGCTCGCTGCATTTAATGAATACTAACCCCCGTGTTTAAATATATGCGTGAATATTTTTCATAAAATTTTATCATAGCATAAATGAATGGGCCTCCGCTTGTAGTTGGAGATGTATAAATTTGATTATTTTAAGCCCATGATAGGGGATATCTTTTGAAGTATGATATTAAAGATCTAATATTGGCATTAGGGGGAGAGAAAGCCTATTTTGAATGTCAAATATTATTTCCATAGAAGGAAAATGATATAAAGAAAATATTTCTCGAAGCTTGAAGCAGGAACAATATCACGCGCTAAATCAAACAATAGTTTGACTAATGCTCTTGTGAAGCATGAAGCGGAGCATATGCCATATATTTTTTAAAAATGAAAGGAGTAACTTGAAGTTATAAATCAGAAGTTGTGTTTACTAGTAGTAAACTAAATATTATATACTATCAAGCTAAAATATACGGGGACACCTGTGGATTCTAGTTTAATGTATACTTGTCAAATGAAATAAGAACAAACTGCTCCATTTTGATGAAGAGAACACCTCATGAAGAAGGTTAAGCACCTCGTGAAGAGGATCATCACGAAGATAAAATCCAACACACTAGGTGCGCACATTATTAGTGTTGGGTATGCAGAACAACAAATCATGTCTTGTTTGAGAAATGACAAAGAGATAGAATAATCTTATATTGTGAGAATATTGGAAGAAAATAATAGTTATCGACAATGTTACCTCTATAATTGCAAATATTTCTCTTATGAGAACCCAGATCCGGAAACATAGTCCATGGCGAATGTTGGTATTTATAAGTGCAAATATAATATGAAGGATTCCAAAAGCGCACAGAATACTATTGTTTTAAATGTATCGAACACTTTTGTGTCCATTTTTTCTCAACACTTTTTTTCCTTTTCTTTTTTTATGAATAATTTTTGCATAGCCCCATGCCTCTTTTCTGCAACCAAAATATTAGAGAGATAGCAACAAGAACTTGAAGCATTTATTTAAATGCAAACCTAACAAGCATGTTTTTGTGTTCACTTCCAGTATAGGAGTAAAACTTTTTTGGGTGGATCTAAATGTAATGACATGTGTTTACGCCTACCTCAGTGTAGGAGTAGTGCATATGTGGGTGGAGGGTACATGATCTTGATTTTAAGAGTATGACAAATCTCTCATAAGGATCAATAAAGCTTGACAAAACTCAATGCAAAACAAGCAGCATATATGTGAAAGTTTTCCTAGCCTAAATAACATTTATGACTCTGGTAGGAATTCAAGCTTTATCATACATGAACTCATCATGTAGTATTTTTATATTTTTTTAAAAGTTAAATCTCCAAAATTTTAGTGTCACTTAGAATAAGATAAACAGCAACTCAGACCTTCTCATATCATATCCTTTAATTATCTAGACTTAGATCAAGCATATGCTACCCACGAGTTTCAAGTTCAAAGTGAATCCTTATATAAAAAAATCTTATCCAAAACTCGGAAGAATTCAAGACTGAAAACTAGGCACTTAAAAGGAATTATATGAGCAAATATTCATCATTTCCATTTTAAGATATTATCTTCATAGTCCTTTTTATTTTATTCAGCTCCTAAAAATAAATTAATGCAAACTAGACACACTCTCTTTATTTTGTTTTATTTTTTTAGATCACACATTATAACTATATATATTTCTATAAAGATAAATTTTTATTTTGTTTTTAGTTATTTTTTTCTAATATATATATATATATAAAGCAAACTAAGAATAATAAAAGGAAAAGAAATACTTATCTAGATACACGGGTGATGCCTTGTCCCCCAAGTTGGTTGTTGTCGTGGTTGCTCAACGAGGTGACCGGATGTGGAGGTTCTAGGACAGAGCCTCCCAATTTTGATTTTTACTGTTGTTGTTGCTGGAGGCTGGCCATCTCGTGTCCCATGCTTACCGCCATTGTGCATGATTATGTAACGTACCTTGCATGGCAGCATTTGTCTCTTCAATGGCTGAGTCTGTTGTCGAAGCGGTAGTAAGCCTCCTAAGAGTCATGATACCCTCGGCCAGAGAAATACATGCGTCCTCCCTAATGCCCACTTGAGGTTGCTTCATAATCTTGCCCTCGGTAGTTGTGGAAGATCATTGATCGAGTTCCTCGGTTCACTCTTGAAGATGAGGATTCTTGAGGTGGCGCCTCTAGTAGTGGCGCTTCCAATGGTGGTGCCACCTTATTTTGCCAAACCGATCTCAGTTTTGAGTTTGATTTTGGTTTGACAGGTTCATTCTTCTTACTTGACTTGTTCCTCCATCTTGTTTAGCATTTTGAAGTCAACCATTAGTAGTAGAAACTGATGATATCTTGTGTGCATCATTATTGCGGTTCAAAACTTTCACTTATAGAATTTGGTGGATTGACTCCCCCAAACTTTCCTCAAAGTGTATTCTGCTCATAAAGATAAGGTAGAGATCAAGTGTATGGGCTCTGTTGGTGGAAAAACACCAATAAAACCAAAACTTGATTTATTTTTCTCTCTAGCCTTAGGCACATCGAATTATGTTACGGTTGACATTATGTGCATTCATTCTTACAATATGGGTGATAAGATTAGAAGGATGAGGATGAATATGGCATTTGAATACATTTGTCAAAAAAGAGTGGAGTTGCTTAACCTATGGAAGGATTGTCCATCTTTACATAATGTATCAAACTTTACACAATTATGACTATCATCTTCCAAAGATAAGATATGCAATATTTTAGCTCATTTGATTAAGACTGTGAGATCAAAAAAGTGGTGCTATGAACAAGCTTAAGGAACAAGACATATTGAGTTAATCATGTTGAATCAAACAAAGTTGTAACTCAAACATGTTTGTTTCTTCATTTGTGCAAATAGCTAGATCAAACGTAAGATTTTTAAACAATAACCACTTACCTTAAGATGTTGCCTTGTTCATTGTAGTGTGATGACACCCTTTGATGAAGGGTAGATGACTTGTGTGGTGATCTTTTCTTCCTGCTTGAAGCTTTCCTTGCTTGAGCTATTCATGAGCATCTTGTCTCCTATATCACACTCCTTTCTCATCCTTTTATCATGCCATCCTTTTGTTCTTTCTTTCGTGGATCTTGGCACTTTGTTTGGTCCTTCTGCTCGTTTTATTGTTTCTTCTCTATAAAGGATTAGTAGACAACACATACCCGAAGGAATATACAAATGATTCAAAGCAAGGATAGTGTTGTCATAGAGCTGAAGGTCATCCTCTATGTTATAACAGAGTTGGTTTTAACATTTTAATTAGCATAGAGTCTTTATCCTATCTTTTAAATAATGTACCTTTATTGTTCACCACTACTTCAAATTTTCAACAAGGTTAAGGCAAATATTGTGAAATTGTTTTGAAGAATTCATCAAACCTTGATTTGTTTCTACAAATGATGTCCTAACATTCCCTATCTGTACAACCAAATTTTATACAA